GGATGAGGGTTTCAGATTATGGTTTTGAGCCCATTTGCAGCATGAATCTTTTTGTTGAAGACATTGTATTACAAACCTTATATTTATTGGGATCAAATTTTACTAGTCATTATTCTCTAATAAAAATTAATTAATTGGGTTGTTGGACGGCCAAGCGCATAGTGTGAGGTAGACATAGTTACAGTTTGAATCCTGTCTCGCAGCGTATTGGCTGTGAGTTGAGCCAGGTTACAGCCCTGTAAGGCTTTTATCTGTGTCCTTGTGTGGGGGATAGTAGTGCCCACCTCTGAGGAGTGTTTCAAAAAGGGTTTAGGAAAAAGATAAAATATTTTAAAATGTGGTTCTGTGGGATTATGGATAAATTGATTAAAAAATGTGTAATGTATTATGTCAATTATACTTCGATTAATATATCTATACACTTATACCTCAATTAAAATGTCTGTATAAAAACTTGTGCATGAATGTTCATAGCGGCCTTATTTATAATAGCTCCAAAGTGGAAACAACCGAAATGTTTATCACCTGATGAATGGATAAATGGTGGTTTAGCCATACAATGGAATTTTACTCAGCAAGAAAAGGAAATGAAATGCTGATATCCTACATAGATAACCTTGAAAATGTGCTAAGTGAACAAAGCCAGTCACAAAAGGTTACATATCTAAATGAAATGTCCTAAATAAGCAAATCCGTAGATTCGTAGTTACCTGGAACTGGGGGGGGGGAGGGAGGCAGGTTCAGTGGGAAATGAGTGTGAATGTGAGGTTCCTCGTTGGGGAATGACAACGTTCCAGTGTTGACTGTGGCGATGGTGGCATGACTGCGCGCATACGCCCACGACCATTTAGCTGACCTTCGAATGAATGAGTTATATATTTATATTATGTGAATTATTTCTCAATAAAGCTCGTGGTTTTTTTTTTTAATGTGAGATTATGTACCTGGCACCTCATCGTCACCTAATGTTGCTTTCCTTCTCCCTTATTCTCTGACAGGTTGTAAATTAGGGCCTTAATCCCAATTGCATTTTCCATCTAGAAACTAGAAAATCAGCAAACTTACTATGAAAGACCGTCCTTAATGAGGATAACAGCAGGGGAGTCGAGCCGCAGGGTAGAGAAAATTGGGTGCTTTTTCAGTCCCTGAAGTTGAGTCCTCATAGTTCGACTTCATGTCCCCAAATGTCAGTGCACCTGTACTCGCTGTGAACAGAGCTGCTGCCAACGTCACCTTGGGAACATTGTCTTTTCAGCCGACTCTGATTCTCTTAACATGAGTCATTCACTGCCAAGTGACACCTTCCATCGCTCAGTGACTTGACTGCACTTATCTTCGCTTTTTCTAGTCCTGCATTGAGGCCCATGAGAAGGACATGGAGCTCTCGTTCGCCGTCCAGCGCAGCAAGGACATGGTGTGTGGGATCTGCATGGAGGTGGTCTACGAGAAAGCCAACCCCAGCGAGCGCCGCTTCGGCATCCTCTCCAACTGCAACCACACCTACTGTCTCAAGTGCATTCGCAAGTGGAGGAGTGCTAAGCAATTTGAGAGCAAGATCATAAAGTGAGGCTCCTCCCCGGTCTTCATTTGTGCTTTCTATTTTGGGGAAGAATTTAGTATCTTGTGCCAACTTTCAACCAGATGGACCGCATTTAAATGCATGCATCTTACCTTGAAACTGGGGTATTCTCCTAATCGGGATTTCTTTGTATTTCAGCTAGCTTCTAGGTTAGTTGGTATATCTACTTTTATTTGAATGAGGAAACCCTATGTATCAGTTAGTAGAACCTTCGTGCTTTTTCTGAGGAGATTGTGTTTAACGGATTAGCCGGTTTAGGCTCGGTGAACAAACTTACCTAGCTCTGAATGTATGTTTCCTGACGTTTTACATTTTTCACTTTCCTATTCCATCCATTAAGCTAGCCAATAATCCACCATCCTTTAAAGATTGTTCTCATAACTGAACAAAAACGACATAACCTAAACAGAGCAAAGTTACAAGAAATAAATTTATTTAAACGAAAGAAAAAGGAGTCTGTGTGAAATGTCTCTTTTTGTTTTGTTTTGTTTTTTGTTTTTCGTTTTTTTTTTACCTAAGTTAACTTTTTTTTTTTTAAATGAACTGGCTAGCCATTGAGTTGAATTTATAAAGGAGTTTGTCTTGCCTCAGAAAGGTGGTCAGTTGTGTGACTGTGTGGAGCCCTTTCCGGAGGTGCCCGCCTGCCCTTCAGTTAAGTCTTTAAGTCTGGAGGTGACACACCAGGGTGTGTCCTTGAAGAGTGGGCCCGGGAAGGGGAATTTGCACTGCAGCCTGTTCATTGTTTCCCAGGTCCTGCCCAGAATGCCGGATCACATCTAACTTTGTCATTCCAAGTGAGTACTGGGTGGAGGAGAAAGAAGAGAAGCAGAAACTCATTCAGAAATACAAGGAGGCAATGAGGTATGAGCACTGCAGCCTTTTCTCAAGCTAAGATCCCAGCGGAGCTTGGGTTCACTTTGAAAAGAACAGTGCTGCATTCCACACTCCTACCTCCTTCCTACCCTTTCTTTTACTTCCCAGTACAGTTTATCTTGTCGCCCCTGGTAATACTGACCTATTATGTGTCTCGCTGTATAACCCAGTCCTTGGGGAGCGTGCCAGGGGACTGCGTCACGACGAGGACTGTACTTTCTGCCGGATCTGCGGTACCAGGGCTGCCAGACAGTGTAGACTTGAACAGAGTGTCCGTCTGTGGTAGTTAGCGTTCCATGCGTTGGCGCACACACGTTAAGGACACACCTCGGGGGGGCTGTAAACTGACGTGCTGGTTCTATCCCTACCCGTTTAGAGAAACCCCGGATGATAGTGGAATACAGACCTGAAATCCACTGTGAATAAGGGTTGCGATATTTTCCTTTCCAGCAACAAGGCGTGCAGGTATTTTGATGAAGGACGTGGGAGCTGCCCATTTGGAGGGAACTGTTTTTACAAGCATGCGTACCCTGATGGCCGTAGAGAGGAGCCACAGAGACAGAAAGTGGGAACATCAAGCAGATACCGGGTAACTCTCACTATTTTTTTAAAAAGAGGGGAAATGCCACGCTATCCATTGCGTCCCGCACAGAGTGGGGAAGGGACGCAGCTCAGGTCTGGGAGCGAGACTAGGATATTGACGGAGGAAACCAGTCTCAGAGAACTGGGCGGGATGTGAAAGGAAAGAATAGAGTGCTTAACGCCCTGGGCTAACGCGCAGCGAGTGCCCGGAGGGGAGGCGTTGGTGAGGTGCAAGCCCTAAATGCGAAGTCTGGTTCTCTGGTGGTTCGTCATGCCCTCTGGTGTGCTGGACGCGTTGCCTTAGAAACAAGAGACTAGAAGATGCCACTCGACAGTGCCATCCCTATCACGGCCTTGTTTTTTACAGGCCCAACGAAGGAACCACTTCTGGGAGCTCATTGAGGAAAGAGAGAACAGCAACCCCTTTGACAACGAGGAAGAAGAGGTGGTCACCTTTGAGCTGGGCGAGATGTTGCTTATGCTTTTGGCTGCAGGTGTTCCTTTCCAGCAACAAGGCGTGCAGGTATTTTGATGAAGGACGTGGGAGCTGCCCATTTGGAGGGAACTGTTTTTACAAGCATGCGTACCCTGATGGCCGTAGAGAGGAGCCACAGAGACAGAAAGTGGGAACATCAAGCAGATACCGGGTAACTCTCACTATTTTTTTAAAAAGAGGGGAAATGCCACGCTATCCATTGCGTCCCGCACAGAGTGGGGAAGGGACGCAGCTCAGGTCTGGGAGCGAGACTAGGATATTGACGGAGGAAACCAGTCTCAGAGAACTGGGCGGGATGTGAAAGGAAAGAATAGAATGCTTAACGCCCTGGGCTAACGCGTGCAGCGAGTGCCCGGAGGGGAGGCGTTGGTGAGGTGCAAGCCCTAAATGCGAAGTCTGGTTCTCTGGTTCGTCATGCCCTCTGGTGTGCTGGACGCGTTGCCTTAGAAACAAGAGACTAGAAGATGCCACTCGACAGTGCCATCCCTATCACGGCCTTGTTTTTTACAGGCCCAACGAAGGAACCACTTCTGGGAGCTCATTGAGGAAAGAGAGAACAGCAACCCCTTTGACAACGAGGAAGAAGAGGTGGTCACCTTTGAGCTGGGCGAGATGTTGCTTATGCTTTTGGCTGCAGGTGGGGACGACGACCTGACAGACTCTGAAGACGAGTGGGACTTGTTTCATGATGAGCTGGAAGATTTTTATGACTTGGATCTATAGCAGCTTTGCGTGGCATGTGAACTGGTCTGCTGAGCCTCAGACAGTAGCTGTCCCTGTGGTGGTGTGGCAGTGCCCACGTCTCTCCTAGGCAGGCCTATCAACTCCAGGTGCTGTCATCGTAATTTTTACCCAGGGCCTGTCTTCTCTCAATCCCTCACCTTTTCCCGACAAGTGTGTTGTTTTCTCTGTTTAAAAAAAGTTACAAAAATAAATCTTAAAGTTAGTTTTTTTGTAACATGAATTTAACTGTCAGACAGTTAGTGTAGATTTGTTGTGTCATCTGTTTTCAGCCAGATTCACACAGTTCTAACAAAGGTAGTGTTTATGGACTTTCCACACTCATTTTGAGGACCCCGGATTCTAAAGTAACAGCACTGGGCCTGCTTTGGGGTCCAAGAAGAGGGATGCTGGATGGAGGATCTGAACTGAGGCGAGTAACCTTCTGCTACAGACTTGAGAGATGGATACTTGAGGTTTCTGGTGAAATCTGCACATCTGTGTTTTTATATCTGTTCCCTAGGATCCCCACCCCATGCTCTTGTTCTGTGGTTTTTGGTCTCTTGTTTGATTGCACAAAAGTAATAACTACTGGGTAACCAAGTGCGAATGTGTTGAGATTTTTACTGTATTTAGTATGATAGGAAAATTGTGAAAGGATGCATATAAAAGAGACAGTGGCAAAAGAAATGCAGAGTTGGAAGTTGACTCTCAAGGGCTGATAGACTTGGCATGTGTGAGTGAGTGTGGTAAGCTCATGCCTGCATAGATGCAGTGTTAGCCTTAGCGGAAAACCTGGGATTAGTGGTTTCAGCCTTTAGATCTTACGAGACACAGCAGTATGTTGGCAGCTGTTCATAGAGCAGTGCTTGTCTGTCTGTCTGTCTGTCTGTATAGAGAAATGGCTTTAGCCACAGAGGTTAAAACTGCCTGGTTATCCCATATATTAACACAAACTGGGTCTTGGATACACAGTTGTATTTAATGTTTAATGATCTAGCCTTTCCGGTCCAGGCACTTTTTGACAAACTTTGTCCTCATTTGAGGGGTTTTGTTGTTGGGATTTGTGTTTGTTTTTGTGGGTATTTGTCTCATTCCATCCCTGAGCTCTGCAGGTAGACAGATGTGATACAAAACTTACGTTCTAAGCTGTTCCTTGTAGCGGAGTCATTGGTTTGCAGTTACAAGTCAAGCTTTCCCACTAAGGTGGGGAGGGGGTGGTAATCTACGAGACAACTTAAGTTGTTAGAAGAATTCCTTGATTGGAAATTTTAGCTTTGCGTTTTGTTGCTCTGTTTCCTGAAAAATAACTTGGAGATGCTCCTCAGTTGTCCCATCCACTGCTTTGAGTCCTCGGATCCCACCCGTTCTTTCACTTAAAGAGAAAACAAGTAATTGTTACAGAGGTCTCTGTATTTTACAGCTGCCCTTTTGTAAGAAGCACTTTTCCCAAATAAAACAATAAAAAAGCTGTAAGTCGTGTTCCTGTTTTGTTTTGTGTAATGGGCTGTTTGAAATATGCTGTAGTACTTATATGCTTCATCGACTCTGATAGTTCATTGATTAGTCAAATTTCTGTGGCTGTAGTTTTCATTGAAAAAAGCGACACCCTTCCTAAAACGTCTAGCCTGCTGAGAAACGTTTGAGAGAGAAAGAGAGAAACCTTGCCAGCCGGGGTCATCAAACCATTCTGTACTAGAACTCGTAGAAACCAGCTCTCGGGCCACCCTTATCGGCCAAAGGCACTGCCGGTTTTCCGCTGACGTGCGCTTGTACTTCAGACCCTTGAGTAACAGGTAGGTTACAATATGTTGTATTTTGAAAGGGTATTTTTCTTCCTGATTCTATGAATTGTTATTAGCCATTTTGCTACTCCCGTGGAAGACCTTTGGCAACCTTTGCGCAGTGCTTATTTGTGAAAATGTTGCTGCTCAGTTTTAATAAGTAGTTAAGAATTTATGCTTTTGAAAGTGTTTCTGCATGTAGGAATTGTGTATATTGTGACTTTATTGTCATGGTAACAGCTGTAGCTCCACTGAGCAGTCTTTATATAAGCTCATGTACCAGCTGTTCCCTTCTAGAAATGTCAGAAGTCTACCTTTAGCAGCTGCTACTGATGAGGCCGAGCTGGGATCTGAGTGGGGAGGGGGACTTAAAAGCTTCTGCTCCTCGGTGTCTGGGAAGTAGGAGGAGGTCGTCAGTGGCTGCCCTGTTGGCACATCTTGAGTCACCGCGGGGAGACTGATCTAGGCTTTGACCCAGGTGGCGATGAGAGCTTCTGGAGTGTAGGTAGATTTGTTTGGAGCACGCGCGCTTCGCGTCTCTGGAGAAGCAGTGGAAGTCCACGTATTAGCCAGTCCATAATGCTCGTGGCGACCCCGTTACTGTCTGCATTGACAGTGAGCTCTTCAGTGTGGCTGCGGACTGCAAAAAGGTGACCAACAAGGACGGTGAAACTCCTCACTTCCTCTTTTGGCAAAACCACAGTCTCAGCCTCCCTCCTGCCACCACACACAGTAATGTTTACATCTGTGACCAACGCCTGTGGACATATACGCCTCCTGGTTTTTAAAAAAGGTTGGGGGAAAAGCAGCAAATACCGCCAGAGGTTTGGGGGAGGGCGGGGGCATGTTGACGCAGGTGTTCGTGGTCATCATTTGTGCCGTTTCCCCAGGCTCCCGAGTCTCTGCCTTCCTGGGTGCGAGTTGCTAAGCCCATCGGGAGCTCCTGAGGCTGATGGAGTGTAATGAGGAGGTGGCATATTTCCAGGCGAAAGTTAAGAGCTAACTTTCGCCAATGCCAGTCTTATCTCATTCTCCCCTTGTCCACGGGGATCATTTCTGAGAAGGTGGCTGTCCCACCAGCCTGGGTGCACAGTGTGAGGACAGGTAGAGTAGAACGCTCGGCTGTCCTTTGAGGGACAAGATTTTAGATTTTTATTTGTTTATTTTTTATTTACGCCTACAGCACCTGGTCTTCCTGGGTGGTCTCCCATCCAAGTACTAACCAAGCCTGACTCGCTTAGCTTCCAAGATCAGACATCAGGCTTGTTCAGGGTGGCATGGCAGTAGACCATGGACCGTGGCTCCACTGGGGTGCGAGCCCAAGACCTTCTGCGTGTAAAGCAGACGTGCTAACAGCTATACTATGGAACCACGTCTGAGATTTTAGATCTTTTTGTTGTCACAGCACAACAGCCTATCTTATGCTGAGGTCATCTATTGAAAACTCATAAGCAAAACAATTAAAAACATAATATTTAAAGTATTGAATTATTTTAATAGTACTTTTTGGGTATCTCTCTATTCAAGGTAATTAAATTGTGATTAAATTGTATGGATGAACAAACTTATGGTTTAAAATCACTACGTGGTCTAGAGACATTAGAAAAAACATTACACACACTGGCTTTTTTGCCTACCTATCCTTTGATAATATTTACTAAGGGAAATATATATAGTTTTTTTTAGAGGAATGAGGCTGTGCCGTAGTTGTTAAATATGTCAGAAGCATTTAAATAGTTATAAATAGGGAGGCTAGAAGATAAGTTTTTAAATAGCCCTCAAACCCTAGAATCAGTTTCTGAGGGTTTCATTAGGCTGAGAGGCAAAGAGATATACTTCTAAGTGGGAAAATTTAAAAAACAGTAAACCCTTTGTAAGTTTTATCTGAAGTGATTAACACAGTTATCAGTGTGTTATTACTTTCCATAGCGTCTAGGACTTATTTCACATTTAAAAACGGGCTTACATTTTAGATAAAAGAAGTGCTCTGTCGTAAATCATTTTCACAAAGTGCTTATTTCTTTGTATTGAATGGCAGGAAGAGATTCTATGCCGATAATAGAAAATGTCTTAAGATCTGACTTCACTGAAACTCACCAGGTCTTTCTTGCAGCTCCCTTTATCAGTGCAGAGAAGGAGATACACCACGTGGTATCTGAACAAATAAAAGTATTTTTAGGTTCAAGTTGAAGCACTGTTTCCTTTTAATCAGAAGCAGATTCCCCTCAGTAAATAACTTAGAAATTGACTTTCAGAAGGCTGTACCTACTCCTGTCTTTGTCAACAGTCAGCATAATCTAAAATATAAAACAATTTGTAAGAAAGATTTGTTTCAAGGAAGACTCATTTCAGATGATAAATTTGCCCTCCTAGAAAGGGCTCGTTCTGTTTTTACCTAATGTAGATGCGGGTGCAGTCACTCACTTTCCTCCCCTACCCTTGTCTTCTGTGTTAAAACTGTTAATGGATAATGTTTTTGATAAGATGAACGTAACCATTTGTTTTACGGATATTTGCGTCTCTGCCACACACTGTGCCAGCACTGGAGATGCTGTGAGCACAGAGGCAGCAAAATCTGCTCATCAAAACAGTCCATGGGATCCCCTCCGCTTCCCAGACTTCTTTGCACTTCAGTTGGTGCCACGTGACTCAGACCACACGCTGCATGCCTCCTTCATCCCTCCTGCCAGGGGGGTGCTGGAAACCACGTGGCTACAGTGTTTAAAAATAGCCACCATTTATTGCACACATACAATGTGCCAGGCCCTGTGCTTAGCATTTCGGTTAAGTCTCATTTAATCCTTACAGCAACCCGAGGTAAGTCATATCTCTGATTTACACCGGACGAGGCTGAAATTGAGGTGAAGTCATTTGCCTGTGTTTTCATGGCTGATAAGCTGTAGATCAGGCTCCAACCTCAGTCCTTCTGATTAGAGGCCAGACTCAAGTAGACTGTGCCTTGTGCAGTGGACGTCATCCTCCTCATTCTACCAAAAGTGTGTGGCCAAGGGTCACCAGTGTTGTCCCTGCTGAATTCAGGACTTGCAGGAAACTTCATTTCCTTGGCTTTTCACAGCAATTGGCAGAATCGATCACCGTTTTCCCCAATCTTTAAAGCTATATTACACCAGCATTTCTCAAACTGTTAACGGTAAAGGACTAGTTGTCTTATTTTTTTTATTTCTAATCCATCCTGGGCCATTACTCTTGTGAAAGACTAGAAAAATGAAATGAAAAACATCCTCCTTAGTAGGATCCCAAAGTCGTCGCCGGATTTGACAGACGTCAAAAAAGTTCTCAATTTCTGTCCTCTCTTTGCCACAGACGGAGAACAGTGTGCAGGCCACTCCCCGAGCTCCATTGTCACCACCATCTTCCGATTCCTTCTGAAGTGGTGGCTCCTTTCTCCTCCCCCTCATTTTGGGTATTCCGTAAGGCCCGATCCTGGCCTCATTCCCCTGGCTAACAATTCATGCCACCGACAAAGGAAGCGATTTCCACACATAAATCACAGTGCTAGAGATTCTAGGAACACACTGTACACGGCATTTGCCCTAAAGGAAGTTCTGGTGCAGTGGAAGAGCTCAGGGGAGATGCACCGATGGCTACAGGCGATGGTATTGTCGCCAAACACTAATGCTGCCCACTCTGCGACTTCACCTTTCCCCCTCAGCCTGGCTTCACTAGGTGCAGGTCCGGTATCTCTAACTGCTTGCTGGACGTCTCCTCTGGGAGAGCCCACTCCCACTGGACCCTCAGTTTCTAAAAACTGAAAACCATGCTTTCCTCAGATTTGGCCCAACCACTTGGCTCCGTGCATCATATAATTCCCTTTCTCAAAATCCTCAGGGACTTCTTGCTGTCCGTAGGAGCAGGATTAAATCCGTCAGCCTCTGCAGCCTGGGTTCTTCAGAATGACCCACGTGCCCCCGTGACATTCCAACACTCATCCTCTTCCTCATCCCTAAGGGCTGGGCTTGTTCCTGACTCCTACACTTCCTACTCACATGCAGCCCCTTCGTCACCCTTTCTGTCACAGCCCGTCGAGGTCCTGAATCCTCCAAGACGTTTTCCCAGGTCATTTCAACCAGCCTGGAACTACCATGTTACTCTGGCCCATTAACTATGCAACATTATTTCACTTTAAATGTGTAAACTTGGTTCCTGCTAAACACTGAATCATTTTAGGTCAGGAAACTGTTATTTCTTTTGCAACTCCCACACCCCTTAGGACAAAGTGTATAGTAACGCTTAAATTGAGGTCATGGTAAATAGCCTGTGTTTGATCACCGAAAGCTTTACTAAGGCAGCAGGCCTTTGACGGTACCACTTCTGCTTTAAATCTGGTCAGTGGCCGCTAAGGCTTCGGGTGCTGAGCTGGGGGAGCTGGTGGCAATAACAACAGATGCCCGAGTGTCAGTGTGTGAATTGGCTTATGCTTTGAAGAGACTTGCAAATAGTATAAACTATGGATCCTAATCCAGATCTGATGAAGCACAGCTCCAGGGCCGGAGCCTGGGACTCTGCATGTTTCATGAGTCCTGTGGCCCGCCTGATGCATAGCCAGGGCTCAGATGCATTCTGCAGTCCGGCCTCTCTTTTCAGTTGAGTGACCTAAAGCCCCCCAAATTGGAAATAACTTGCCAAGTTCACACTGTAAGTGGCCAGGAACACCTTGAGGGGCTACCTGAGTAACAGCTACATTCTGTGCGTATCAAAATGTTACGAAAGTAAATGTATAGGAAAAAGCGACGTGTACAAGATCATACTGAGAGCGTCACTCTGCGTGTGATCCCAGATGATCTTAATATTCCTAACTTTTTCCACCCCCTAAATGACAAATCCTTTCCTCAGTTGTTTCTGAGTAATGTATAATCTTAGTAACTCCCTTAGGGATTAAAAAAAATAGTTTCAATGTGTTTGCATGGTATGTAATGGTTAAAGTTAAAAAGAAATATTTCTGGCTGATAAATTACTAAAGATTATATGCTAAAATTTATTGTAAATGCAAATTTTTTCTCCTTAGGCCCTTTTGAGTGAGATATAATTCACATACCAATTAATTCGCCCATTTAAAGTATACAATGTAATGGTTTTTTGATATATTACGTTATTAATTTTTAAGATTGTAATAAAATATAACAAAGTTTGCCATTTTAACCATTTTACGTATATAATTCGGTGGCATTAATTATATTCACGATGCTTTGTAACTACCAAGATGGCAGTTCTTTATATTCAGATATACTGACTGACTTTCCCACTTAAAATAATGTTCACTGCTTATTTTTATTTCTGTTAGAATGTTGCTGAATTTTAAAATAACCCATGTTTGGGTTTGGAAATAGATAGATAGACAATGAAACATAGATAGACAACTGCAACACTAACATGTGCTCTGATATAGTGAATACTTGTATTCTGTGCTTTAAAAAATAACCACCTTGGTGTTTTTATAAACGTCATAAATTTTATTTTTATAATTGGAATTTTGTTTCTAAACTAAATGAAAAGGTTTGGGGCTGCTATTTGCAAGCAGCTTTCTAAAAATTTAACATATACGTGGATAATTTTTATTGCCAATAAGAGAAAAAACGAATTGAATATATTATCACTCTGTGGTCTCTTTCAAATTGGTCTTTCAAGTTCCAGATATATCCTGATATACTATATAAGAACAAGTAAATGCAAATAATAACAGTAAGTAAAATGATACGTAAATGCAACTTATATGTCGGGTGAAGAGTGATTTCTGAATGATTTTGCAGAATTATCACCTCTTCTGCTCTTATGAACCCCTACTTTTG